AAGACACCTGGAACTAGTGCCCTGAGCTGGAGAGGCCACGTGGAGACCCCGACCAGCGCTGAGATGCTTACAATGCCACTAGATCCAAAAGACTCCCCAGCCACTGGCCTGTGAGCTTCCTGCATTCGGCATCATTGCATGTGCCTCGTGAGTCTGAAGAGGATTTTATACATTGGTATCGGACACATGGGCTAGTATTGGACTCATAGACTTGATCTGGACTGGGATGTTTTCTCAATATTCAATTGCTCTTGTACATAAACCTCTTTCCTATACACGTGACTGTCTCCCTGGAGTTATCTCTCTAGTCTACCTGGACTGACACAGGGTGCCTTGCAGAGCTTTGAATCACCTAGACCAGGGTTTCTCACCTCAGCAGAGTGGTATTTGGGAAACATAGAGCTTCCTTATAAAGGGACTGGTAGCTTTAGAAGCTGTTCAGCAGCATCTCTGGCCTGTATCCACTCTGTCCACTAGATGTCAGTAGCAACTACCTAGTTGTGACGATAATCTGAGCTCTCCTTACTCTCTGAAGTCCTCCTATGTACACAAGTGCTTTATTTTTAATAGGCCACACGCATCTGTTTTGTCTTCCACGGAATATGTATCCTTTCTTATCTCTGTTCTTGGGGATGCGCTGCATGAGGGCACTTAGATTTGTCCCTATTTTCTCATCAATGATCCTGATAGCTTTGGGTTCTACATTTAGGGCTTTGATCCACCTTGAGTTTGTGTACATGGGGTGAGATATGGGTGTTGTTTCCTTCTTCTGCAGGTGGATATCCAGTTTTTCCAGCACCATTTACTGAAGAGAGCATCTGCTTCCCATGTCATGCTTTTGGGCCTTTGTTGGAAATCAGCTATCTGTATGTGAATGCATTCATTTCTGGGTTCTCTGTCCTGATCCTTTCTGAGATTCTTCAGAGCACTGTGGGGAGTCCCTGGGGTGGTGGGCAAAGGGGAGCTCCAGGATTGGAGGGCAGAGGTGTTCCTGGGTTGGTGGGGACAGGGGTGCCGGGAAGTGGGGAACTGCTGGGATGGTAGATAGATGGGGGTCAGGAAAACAACAACAACGCCACAGGTGGACAATTGCCCAGTCTTCTGAACTGACCAGACTGGAAACACTTGTGCCTTCCCTCGGTCTAAGGTTATCCACTGGGGTTGATGTTGACACCCTTACTATCACACCACCACCAACACAGTACCACACTCACCTAGGATGTGAGGGCTTTCACTGGGAAGTACCAGGTGTCTGAGGGAGCAGAAGCCAGCTGTGCCAATTGTGGAGAACTGTTAGCAGGCAGACAAATAAGGTCTTGCTACATCGATGCCCTCTGTGTTGTATTAAGATATGTATTATTCTGGCATGCCTGGGATGATCATTCTGAGGTATTTGGTTTTTGTTCATATCAGGGTATATCTCACAGGTGCTATGGCATGGGGGAGTACCCTCTTGAAGTTGTGAAATAATTTTTTCTGTTTTTCGGTAAATGAAACCCAGGATTGATGAACCTATAGGGATATCAAGAAGAACAAGGGGATTGAGGAGGAGTGCAGGAGAGGGGGTGATAAAAGGGAGATGATGTCAAGGTACCCAGGAAGAAGTAGGATATTTGGGAAGTGATTATGGAAGCAATGGTACAATTCTGCTTGATGAAATTAAATGACGCAGTGACATGACATTTGAGTTAATTCCCGAGTAAGAACAAATTGAAAGACAAACAGACAAACATGGGCTCACACTGTATCCCAGCTCCAACTTAAGAACTATTAGTTCTTCATCATGGCGCTGCTTGATAAGGAACATGAAGGAGGCCGGGGCCACAGCAAAATGTGGTGAAGAAATTAGATGATGCCCGGCTAGCAGATCAAATCGTGTCTGGGACCTTAAAGACTTGTCTCCAAACAAGCAGCCATCTAAGTGAGAGGTCAGCTAAGCCCACATGGAAGAAGCTCACCATCATCAGTCACCAAAGGATTGTGAAGCATACAAACTGAAGTCAGAGGAGAGATTAGTATCAGAGCTTCAAGTCTGAGAATCTGGTTTGCAGAAGGCTGTGGATGACAGTGGGAGCCCAAGACTCACTGCTGCAACTATGCAGGAAATAGACTTCAGGTGAACTCCCTCTGCCCACACCTGAGGGACAGAAGGAAAGAGGTCACTAAACAGAATGCATCAGTGAGCTGAGGCTAGAAGGTCAAAGGCAGAAGCCTGGCTTGAACAGTTAAACCTTGTCAGCAGATTCCCCCGAGGATGCACACTAGACCTGCTCTGGTTTCCAATGTCTTGTGTATTTGGTGGGTTGTATTTTGTTTTGTTCTTGATTGTACACATCTCAGGAATCTCAGAAATGTTCTCTCATTGGGGGTCACCCTCTTGAAGTTGCAGTAGTAGTTGTTGTTGTTTGTTGTACAAAAACCAGGACTGATGAGCCTATAGAGTCAGCAAGTGATGTAAGAGTTTGGGGGGAGGGGGTACAGAGGTGGTGGCAGGGTGATGACATAAAGGAGTCCACATAGAAACAGAATGTCTGAAAACTGATTGTGGTAGCACATGGGCAATTCTGCTGGATGTGATTGAAATATGGAATGATTTGATCTATGTGTCAATTTTTTTTTTTAATATTAAAAAAAAAAACTCAAAAATTGGTGGCCTGTTTTCAAGGCATGGAACCCTGCATCAGTCCTGGTGGGTACTTCACAAGTGGGTCCACATCAAAAGCCCCAGCCAGTCCCCAGGACCTTCCCCAAAGCACATTGTACTGGACCACATCCGGGGAAGGCCAGCACGGGGAAGTGCCTCGTCTGACTCTGAGGTGCCCCAGGCTCCCCAGGCTTTTTAAGGCTCCTTAGGACACTGCCTTCCATCTCTTTTCTGTGCCGACCTAGCACCTGATCAGGGTCTATTCCCCTTGTCCTGTTCTAGCCAGTAAATGTTACTATAGTTCGTTTGGCTCAGCCAACCAGGATCCATGCCATCACCATCAAATGCTCTGTCTGGGACAAGGGCCAAAGAAAGGCCATGAAACAGCAGGAAGTAATATTTCCAGTTTGGTCTTTGGTCTCCTGCTTTGTGCAGGGGTGAGCCACTGTCCAAAGCCAGCTCAGAGGGCTGGCTTAGGGGAAGGGACAGGTCTGGAGCCCCCAGAAGACAGATGGTTACAGAGGGAAGGGAGCCATAAAGAGGCTCATCAAGGCAGGACTGAAATTCAAAGAAGTAGAGCCTCAGGAAATGCTTAAGACCGTGAATTATGTGGGGCCCTTTGCAAGCTGAGCGATCCACTTCTTCTTAAGGTAATATATTGGTGAGGGAACTGTAGGGCTTCATGCATGCAGACGTCGTGTGCAAAGGCGCATCTGTAATGTAGATTTCACCTTTTTGTATTAGTAGTTGGAATTTAATACATAGATCATGTCATTCCATCCTTCAATCACGTCAAGCAATATTGTACAATTGCTACCAAAGTTTCCGAATATACAATTCACCTTCTATGCAGGAAGCTTGGGTTTAACATCTACCTGTAGTAGCATAGGGATGATGTGTTGGGGTGCTAACAGAAAGGGCAGCAGTTCAAAACCACCAGCCACTCCTCAGGAAAAACATGAAGCTTTTTGCTCCTGTAAAGAGTTCCCATCTTGGAAACTCACAGGGTTGCTATGAGTCAGCATCGCCTGGACGGCAGTGAGTCTAGTTGGAGTGTGCCAGTGGAGGTTCCCATGCTGCTTCGATGGTGAGCAGGTTTCAGCAGCATTTCTAGCCTATGATGAACTTAGCAAAAGCTGGCAGTTCAGCCAGGGAAGGCCCGATGGGTCACAATGGTCTGGTGCTCAGCCAAGCAGGACTCTCTCAGACCATCATACAAAATGCTGCCAGGAGTTGGGGACTGACTCTCTGGGAAGAGTACCACAACAGGTCTTAGCAGGTAGTCAATAACCGAAACAAACAAAGTGGGGGTGGGTGGGTAATAAAATAATAATAAAAGAGGACTGCATATAAATGAAGCACTCGTGACAGGACTAACTTTATGTGCTTCCTTTGTGGTGCCCACTAGAGGGCAGCCCCAGATCAGCAACTAACAGGACCGTTTCTCAAGTCTGACTTCAGGACAAATGGGCCTTCTGTCTTGGTGTGGAGCGGTTACGTATGCATCCCGGCTGCTAAACCAAAGCTGGCAGTGAAACACCACCAGCTGCTCTGTGGGGGAAAGATGAGAAGGATTAGGCTTTCTACTGTGAAGCGTTAAGATCTCAGAAACCCACAGGCGCAGGTCTGCCCTGTCCTACAGAGGAACACTGAGACCGAATTGAGGGCACAGCAGTGATTTTTGTGGGGGGAAGGCAGAGGAGGTTGGTCTTCTGATCAGGACATCGGAGAGGGAGAGAGCTGGGGTGGTGAGAGGTGGACACCAGGAGCCAATGCCCTTCTGTTTCCATCAGCTCATTTTAGCAACCCAACTGGGATGAGTCTAATTATGAGAAACCAAATTGGGCTGAGCCCTTTCTAGCAAACAGCAGTCTCAGAGACCCATGACGGAGGAAGGGGGTTGTCTGGGGATCCATGGATTGGTGGGAGGGGTTAGAAAGTCACATGTGGAACTCGTGCTTTGTCTGCAGGACAACTAGATTCGATTCCCATCTACCGCACCACATACACAGCTGCCACTCCCTGTCACTGGGAGCTCGTATGTGGCCGTGATGCTCAACAGGTTTCAGCATAGCTTCCAGACTGAGATGGGCTAGGAAGAAAAGCCTCATGGTCTACTTCCAGAAATTAGCCAGTAAGAAGCCTGCAAAATACAGCAAAACTGTGTCTGATGTGCTACCAATCGTAGGGATGGCACGGGGCCAGGCAGCGTTTATTAGCTCTGTGGTGCATGGAGTTGCCGCAGAGCAAGCAGGAGGTGGTGCTGCTGCTTTGCAGTCCTGTCCTGAGTGTCCCCCTTTGAAGCAGCATGGGGTCTCAGAGCCTGGCCACCCTGTGCCTGTGGCTCGGTACTCACTATTTGGTGGAGTCCGACAGCTGGTACTCCCTCCTTCGGTCATAGCACTCCTGGATTCCGGGGTCTCGCCACAGCTGCTTGATGGCCTCCACCTGGGTTTTGGACAGCGCCGACACCTTATCCACTTCTACTTCCTTGATGACCTGGGCGTTCTCCTACTCAAAGAAAAGAGAACTTTCCATTACACAAAAGGTAGGAGGCCCCCTTCCTGTGAAGGGGTCCCTGGGTCATGGAGGATGCCTCTGGGTTCTGATGTGTGTGGGGGGTGCCCTCAGAGGGCCTTCTAAGTTCACAAGTAGAGAGTGTCACACCTAAGACCTACCTACAACCTCGTCACACACTGACCTGGGGTCAGCTTCACCAGCCTTCGAGGACCAGTCCTGGATGGGGAAACCCTGAGGATCATCATGAAATGACTTCTGTGTTAAACCGGGTGGCCTAGAAAAATAAGTTCAGACACTCATATGTGTTTAAGAAAGAACTTTATATAAAAGAGTAATTGTATATTAAGAACACATCCCAGCCCAATCCAGATCAAGTCCACAAGTCCAATATTAGCCCATATGTCTGATACCAGTCTGTAAATTCCTCTTCAGACTCATACAACATATGCAATGACACTGAGTACAGGAAGATCACAGGCCAGTGGGTGGAAAGTCTTGTGGATCCAGTGGCAGTGGAACCATCTTAGCACTGACGTGGGTCTCCACATGGCTTCTCCAGCTCCAAGGCTCTGGCTGCCATCAGCATAGTTCTATGTGGCTTGTCAAGAGTCCAGCAGAGATTCTCTGTGCCCTGCCTCCAGGGAGGAAGACAGGAAGTCCCAGAATCCTCAGAAGAAAGCCATGCCTACACAGAGGCCTCATTGGCTGTGACCTGATTGACAAGTTAGACTCCACCCCTTCACAAGTTGACAAATTATGTAACTGCCATAGACCACCCCTTGGCAACTTGACACTTTTACACAACTCTTTAGCCATATATAGTTTTTAAACAAAACAATAATAAAATCATATGTGTACCTAACAGGATAAAACTAAAATGCATACAATACAATAGGGGCCAAAGCCTCATTTAAACATAATATTCTATAAGTGAACAACACAACAATATTTTATGCCAAACAATTGCAGTTAAGTAATACCTACACCTTAATCCTATGACGATATTCCCCGACCTGTTTGCAAGCCAGCCACTTCATGTCTTTATCCACCCAATTTTGGGTATCCAATTTCTATACTGCCCACTTACAACAACCCACTGCTCTGAGGAGACAATCATATTCTTCGACATGAAGAATCTTCATTCCAATTGGAACCTTGTGAAGTCCGCATCCATAAGCAAAGTCAAATCAGGACAGGCCAGTCATGAAGTCTGCAGCAATATGCACCAGTTCACAGGCTCAAAAGGCTTTTCATCTGGCTGGGTTTTGGTCAACTCAATGTGGGCTGCCTCACTTAGCCTCACCAAGGTGCCCATTGGCTGCCTTGCCTTTAGACCATGGGCCCCATCACAAATTCTCAACAATCCTGGCCCTCTTGTGCTAGGTCATGAACTTCAGACCAGTCCATCTGCTCTTGTCTTCTCCTCTAGCTCCTGTGAGCCAGGTCCCTCAACCCGTGTCTTCATTGCTCCATTTCTCCCACTTCCACTCAACAAGTGGATCCAGGTAGTCACCTAGCAAGCATTTCAGCCTGCCCACAGGCTCCCTTAATGTTCAGTCCTAGAGAGTTTCTTCAGGGCTCCAGATTTTTCCAGCACTGGGCATAGAACACTAGTTCAAAATTCAGAAAACCACAGGGTTCCTTTTTTCGCTTCGATCTTTCAGCACCCACCTCGGAAAGTCTCTTCACCTTCGAATGTCCCGAGCACTTAATAGACTGTGTTGGGCTTATCTTTCAGAGCCTTCTTCGCAGCATGTCCTAACCCATCTATAGATTCAAATTAGTGGCTGAAGGCAAGTTAGCTTACAAGCTCTCTATTTTCATACTTCCCGATAATCATTTCTATCAAGCATTATATCAATAACAATAAGAAAATGGTATAAACCTACTATAGCCAGATCCTAAACTCAATTCTTAAAGCAGTCAAGTTCAATCCTATCTACCTTATCTTAAGCCTTATCTAAACTATTACATTGGCCCAAAATATGGCCTTAGGCTTCTGATTGCTTCAAGTTAGGGTGGCACCTTCTGTCGGCCATTTTCATTAAGCAGCGGGGGTCTCTGAGACATTCAAGGGGTGATTTCACCCCCTGGGTTCAAAATACCCATTAATCACATTCATTTTCACCATTCCAAACAGGAATAGCCAAAGACAACAACCAAACAAAAGAATCAAAACTTTAACCCCCCATATTCTTTCCAGAAGAGAGCTCAGTAAACTGCATGGCCAAATAGGACCTCTGGCGAGGCGAAGGAGAAAAACTACCACGAGGCAGCAGTCAGACAAGCACCACTCTCCATCGTCATGATTTGTTCTTCTGCCACCGCGCCCCCAAGGTTCCATACATAATGCGTTAGTGTGCGTGGACTAGAGAAACAAGTTCATGACACTCATGTGTGTAAGAAAGAGCTTTATAGCTACTGTATACAAACATTCCTGGGGTGAGGTCCAGGTAGTATGGCAGGGGCCAATACTAGGGATACATATGGTAGCCAACTAAAAATGAGGGGGCAAAAAAAAAAAATGGGTAGCAGGGGAACAGGGCACTAACCCACCCAAGGGGAGGGTATTGTTTATATCTCCATGGAAAGAGGGACCAGACTTCAACCTGGTGCTCCAAGATGTGAATGCAACATACCGATGAAGCAGGGAACCAGTAGACAGGTTCGAGGGGCTGGCCCCAATCCCAGCTATGTGGACAACTGCCCATCCCCCCAGAATTCACTTCAGAGGACAGCACTGAAGCTACAGCTCAGGGAGAGCGACATGTCTGATCAGAGCACACGGGAGCAAATGAAGGGGAGGAAGAGAGTGGAGCACATTCTGGCCCACCAAGCCCTGAGAACGATATCACCGCTCAGAACAGCCAATGCACAGCGAGGATGAGGAGGACAATAAATGTTCAAATGTGCTTGACACAATGGATATATGTATGGATTGTGATAAGTTGTACAAGTCTCCAATAAAATGATACATTTTTTAAAAGAGCTTTATATAAAAGAGTAATTGTATATTAAGAAAACATCTCAGCTCAGTCTAGATTAAGTTCGTAAGTCCAACATTAGCTCATATGTTCAATACTAGTCTGTGAATTCCTCTTCAGACTCACACATGCAATGATGCTGAGTACAGGAAGATCACAGGCCAGTGGGTGGAAAGTCTTATAGATCCAGTGGTGGAAGCATCTTAGTGCTGATGTGGGTCTCCATGTGGCTCCTCCAGCTCCAAGGTTCTGGCTGCCATCAGCATAGCTCCATGTGGCTTCCCAACAGGAATGTATCACAGGGAAAGTCAAGCAGAGATTCTCTGTATCCTGCCTCCAGGGAGGAAGACAGGAGTTCCCAGAATCCTCAGGAGAAGGTCATGCTCACACAGAGGCCCCATTGGCTATGACCTGACTGACAGGCTAGATGCCACCCTTTTGCAAGTTGACAGATTATGTAACTGCCACTACTTCCTTAGTAACATGCTGGCTGTATGAATGTCTGTGTAGACATGTGATAGACAACTGGAACATGACACTTAGTCTAGTGTTTGAAATACGCTCTTGAACGTAAGACTGAAATACTCTAATGAGAGAAGGAGATAGTTGCTATCCCACACTGAAGAGATTTATGGCTGCTGAACTTTGGTTTGGTTCGAACCTCTTTTAAAGGGACCAACATATATTTGCTGTTTCCATACTTTCTCAGCATTTTCGTGACATGTGTTAGTCTGCCAGGCATGGCTCTGTCCTTGTACACGAGGGTTACTGAGAGGTTTCAATATCTGCAACCCTCACGTCCAGTCTCCTAAATTTCCAAGCTGTACAAGTTAACAATTCATGCAGTGTAGTCTCGTAAGATGCCTTGCACGTGCATGAATACCGTTTCTCAACAGTGTTTAAATTCTGCTCCACTGACTAAATGTTAATATCAATAAAATTACCTTATGCCCCAAGGGGACGGTTTATGAAATACTCCAATAAAATGATAATGATGTCGCCAAAGTGAACCAAGGACATAGATACATACATAGCTTTTCAGATAGCACCCCTGGTATAAGGATAGTTAATTTTTGTGAACTGGCCCTGGTCGGTCCATGCCATCCTGAGGGGAACACTGAAGATGTGGGTGCTGGAGGAAAGTGTGGTGAACATCAGATGGTGCGTACATTTCAGAAAAACAGCACTGGGGCCTTAAGTTCCGCCTCAAAATAAGCTGACATCTAATTGAGGAGTCAGCTAAGTCCACGTGGAAGAAGTACACCAGATTGTATGATCCAAGGATTATACATCATCAAATCCAAACCCTGAGGAGGGAAAGGTACGAGAACCTAAATTCTAAACATCCAGTTTTCATAATGGATGTTAGTGGAAGCCACAAATCCATTTGCAGAGTCCCTGTTCGCCATTTGCAGTGAATCCCCATGGAGCAGAGTCTCAGAAGGTGAACAGCCTGAACACCAGACAAAGATCATTGTAAAGCAGATTTTGGCGCTGTCGTTAAGCTGGAATGTAGCACCTTGTCATTAGATCTCCCTTCTGACCCATTTTGGAATTCTTTAAGCTTTTAAATATCTGATTTATTTTTGATTGTGGTTTTTCTCTGTCATTCGGTCATTGTGTCTGGGTCCTTTGATCTTGTTTGTTTTGTATGTTTTTCTGTAGAGGGAAGTTGGGATTGGTGGATCTATGAAGGGAGCAACTGGATTTAAGATTATCTGGAACACAGAAGGGGAGGGGTGAGGGGAGTCAAGAGCAATGGACACAGAATGAAGAAAATGTTCCAACGTTGATCATGGTGATGATTGCACAACCCTTTTTAATAAGGTTGAACGGCTGAATTGCATGATAAGTAAATTATGACTCAATAAAAAGTTTAGAGTAACCATTATCATCAGATAAGCCCTGGTGGTGCACTGGGTTACACATTGGGCTGTAAGCAAAAGGTCAGCAGGCTGAACCCACCAGATGCTCCGAGGAAGAAAGATGAGGCTTTCTGCTTCCAGA